CTGTGACGCACTGATTTCGGTCCAAGAGGTAGCTAGTTATCCAGGCGAGTAGGGAGCCGGAGACACCACGGGCACAAAGTTTGGCGATCAGGCCCTTGTGCCACACGGTGTCAAACGCCTTGGAGAGGTCGAAGAAACAGATGCAGAATTAAGCCATATTCGAATTATCAGGATTCCACCTGTATATTGCTTCGCATGTTCGTTGGTGCTAGAATTGCTAAAACACAAAGAAATTATCTTGATTTTACGTGTCCAACATGCTTTGTTAATAGGTTTTTCATTTGACCCGAAAAGACCACACAAAGCTTACAGACCACAGCACGAACAGTTCACCAGCCAAACTACACGAAAGCAAGTAGCATTACTCCTCACAAGTGTTGCTTCTCCTCTAATGAGTTCCCCGTCATCTTTATGGAACGAAACAAGACTTGTCAGGAGTAATACTACTTGCTTTCGTGGAGTGTGGCTGGTGAACTGTTCGCGCTGTGGTCTGCAAGCGTCGTGTGGTCTCGTCGGGCCAAATGAAAACCTTTTACTGCTATTTTGACGGACCTATTGAAGATGGCAACAAAGAATTATGCTTTGTTAAGCACAACATGCATTCGGGATCTCTATTAGCCCTTTTCCAAAGGTGCTCTTTTAATTCGCACTTAGTGCTTTTCGCGTCCCTCAAAATATGCTGAAAAAGTGCTCTCTTTTCAGTGAAAACAGGCAAAAAAGCGCTCTTTTTTCAGTGAAGCATAACCATGATACATGTTCAGATATGAACCCAAGCTGAGAAATGAATACGCACTCTTCCATTTATGGGTCCACGAAAGGCAAAACAGGAAGTAAAGTTTTAAAAAACCCACTTTTTACAGCATTGTGTACACCGGGTACAAGCTTCACCAACTAATTACTTGTTGCCCCCCCCCCAAAAACCGGCGTGCCAAGGTCCATGGAAACTCAAAAACTGTGATCGCATGCAGGAGCAAACAGATTTTAGCACTTTTTCAGCTAAAAAAGCTCAAAAAGGGCGATATTCAACAAAAAAACGCAATAAAGGGCGAAAGAAACGGGCTTTTCCAAGAAGGGCCAAAAAGGCGAAAAAAAGGGCGAGCACCTTTGGGAAAGGGCTAATCTCTATGACCCTCAGTGTGCTGGTAACAATATACTTTGACTCTGTACTACGTCTGTACTATGCTGATAAGTTACACACAAGCATTTATTCCACCTCCTGGATATTGCCAGCCAAAACCAGCCTTACTTGAATGTTCACCAGTTGCATAATTATGTTCCAAGTGTGGTCAAAGTTCCCTGAAAATAGCGATCGACGAACCCGGGCATGTAAAATGTCTTACTTTTTGATTTCCCATGGAACCGCCCCGGGGTCACCAGGCAAGGAAAGGGAGTTCAATTCGAACTAACTTTCCGTCACTGACCAACATTTCCATATCTTAGGTGAAAATTAATTCCGCAGCAGTTCTGAGCACTGTTCATCAAGTAAACACAATAGCACCACCACACAAACCGAAACATTTTTTCATGCATTACATGATCGTTCAAATATTTGACGGAGATTGGTACACTGTATATGGAAAGCTGTGGAAAAATCAGAGAGAATTCAGTGTGTTGTGGTAGAAAATATATTTCTAGAAGGGCTTGTCATTGAGAGGTCCGTCGTTAGCAACATCAGTCAGCTCAGGTGGAGCTTGCTTGCCGCTCAACAAGGGCGCCTGAAACACTTGGATGCGAATTACACAAACATTGTTGATCTGAACCTGCAGAGAAAGTAGCACAAAAAAACAGGCCGTTCCAATGAAAATAATACACATGCTACTGGGTTGATCAGAATTACGAAGTCATAATCATTAAAATAAGTTTCCAAAGTAAGTGTTTTTTACTTGAAAGTAAGTTTTGATGTCATGCATGAACATAGTAGAAGGTCTCAATTTTAACCGTTGAAATATGAACACATAACTCTTTGCATTTGGACACGAGACGGACAGGTAATAGAATGAATCAGGTAGCTGCACCCGCACCTTGACCTTCGAGAATGTTGGCTTTCCCATGGATGCAGAAAACTAAGTCTTACTATCTAATACGTTGATAATTTGAGAGAATTTGAAATTATAGCACCACTGTTGGTACTAGATCAGAGTTTGACGAAAGCAAATTAGCTGTGTTATGCTAGTAGAGTTCTCACCCTGATGCGGTAGTTCACTCCTGCGACTACCTGCGTGATGTAGTCCAGAGCTGTGAACATGGTAAGTTCTGGTGAGTTGATACGGTCCTCAACAGCCTTCTTGACCTGAGAACAGTAACAGCATGTTAAAGATATGCAGTATGAACGCAGTGAAGCAATGAAAATGAAGTACATGTTCATGCAAGCTAGGTGCAGCGAACTTTAGAGGTGGTCCTTCCACCTAACAAGTGATTTTCATTCTATGATGCAGAACTTTCTTCGCCGTATAGTCTCTGAACTGCAGTATACATTAACGGAATGTATGGGGAAAGTACTAGTACTCATTACTAATACACAGGACAAAACACATGGATTCACACACACAGTCACTGTCACAAACACACACGTCAACACACGTACACACGCATGCACACGTAACACACACACACACAAACACACACACATTCTAGTCACTTACTTGGTCGCAGATTTTCTGAACTTCGGCATCGGCCTTCCGGGGAGGTTGACTCCATCCCCCACACTTAATTGGTTCCTGCTGCGCCATTGTTGATTGAATGTGATTTTGAAAGAAGAGATACTGCTTGCATGCGGTAACAGAATTGTGAGGAAATCATGTCCACTTCTCATAGTTAAATACTAGCAGTACTAGTACTCCTCACTTGATGCTCTGCACTGAGCCCCGGGCCCCGCGGGAGTACCTGCGCACGCATGATCTCGCGACTCATTGAGATCATCGCGATCCTACGTTCGCTGCAGCAGCGTTCAACGCGTCTACAGTGTACACCACATGCGTAGGAGCTGCCAACCACATTATGATCGCTGTCAGCGGCGAGGACTTTGAACTGTTCGCATTGAAAACTAACCATACTCCAGCACGTATCGTTTTCGAGTGACACCCATGTTGGCGACAATTCCGCTACCTGCTGTTGTGATCAGAGCTGTGGTGCCTCGGGGAGTGCTTTACTCAGTTAGGCAGTTAGGTAACACCGGGATTGATCCATCCGCTGTGTCACTGTATTCATTATGATATTCCCCGAAGAACCCCAAATTCTACAGTCACCCATCAGCGAAGTCTGGATGGGTGTCACTGGAGTGAGTACGCGCGCAGGAGATAAACAACAGGAAGTAAATTAGGTTCTGCAGCTCACCTGCGTGTATGCGCGTGGGGTTTGTGTGTTAGCGCTGTGTGTGTGTGCGTGCGTTTGCGTTTGCGTGTATGCGCAATGTCCATGAATGCGTTTGGGTGCATTGGCATACGCTTTTCTTAACTACACTTCATTGTGCATTGTCTCCAAGTACATGTACATGTAGTGTGACATTACTATCCCACTACTGTATCGGCTTTGACTGCATCAGCTGAGGCCGCAGTGCTGTTCAGTGCTCGCCACTCGATGACACCCTATGGCTGGCATATGGCAGGTGCTACTGGCATGAGACTTGTCCGCCAGCTGTTGAACATACCAAGGCCATACTCATGCTCAGATTCGATGTACTAACCCGGCATTCACTCCCGGCGGCCGCGATGAAAATAGCAGTTCCCGTGAATTAGCAAGTTCTGAGGCCAATGAAGAACGAGTGTGTATGCACTGGGACAAAGGACGGCCATGATTTTGAAATAGTTATACTATACTGGCAACGCTGGACAGGTCAGCATAAGGTTTTTCACTGGCGCCACGTCAAGAATGCCCATGCGGATGTGACTCCTGGCCTGTTTTTTCTGTGTCCCTCACTGACCCCCTAAACCAGGAATTGCTAACATACATGTACGTGTACATGTACAGCTTACACAGGCCAATTAATGTTTGGCAGCTGGGCTACCTGTCAATGATGAGCTGCTTGTTGATCTTCAATACATTGGGTCTCTTAGTCCATTGTTACACCACAAAAGAATTATCGGAACCCACTGCCTGCAAACCATGGTGATGACTGGTGGACGTGTTGTTGTGTAATGCTTGGTTATGTCCTCAACGTGAATGCCGTGAATGCGAGAGAACATGAACTGCATAAACATGCAGGAACTAACAGCTGAATTAGTTGATGCAGAAACGCCATGAATGAGTTAAACTTTAAACTTTGTTTTCAAGAAGTTGATTGCTCCAACGAGTATTCTAGTTATTAGCTTTGTTTTCATTTTTAGAAAGGATGCATCACACATGGCTCTTTTACTTGTCTACGATTTTTGCATGAAATGTCTCCCCATTGGGTATATTGCATCTGATCATCCATTTACATTATTCAACACACATCAGTTCGACTTCCTGTCTCTTATTTTACTAGTATAATTTGTTCTGTTGCCGCTTTTGATGTGGCGTTCGGCTTCTGATGTATATGTAAGTGGGTGGCAGAGAATTGAACAGCTGCAACGCATCCAGTGATTGAGTTGCATGTGAATCTTTATGGAACTCAATTATTGTAACGATGTGATGCATTACTTTACTCCTACCCAAGGGAAGAAAAGTAAAATCCAACGGCTGTGGGTATCACTTGAACCGTGTAAAACTGTTTGCATGGTTGCAAATGTACCCTTACTCATGTACCTACATACACATGTACATGGATTCTGTGTTCTCTATGCGGTCCAGCTCCGACGCTGTCTCCGGTTTTGCCAGTCACTTCAATTGCATTTAGTGTGTCGTGGTGCGTGTTCAACTATAGCTTTTCCACTCAACGTCTCCGCGCTGGAGCATACAGGTATACTGAGGACATGCAGTTTAAATTAGGAGTTTCAAAGTCTCTTCATGGCCCATACAGTTCTTGTGTCTGCTTAGCTGGTAGGTAGAGTTAACACAGTCAAGAAAGTCATAAGGAGGAGGTGTGAACTTGACAATTGTGTATTATTGAACACACTAGCAAGCAATAATCTGTACACAAAAAGCGAAAACGCAATATTTTTAAAACGTATGCTAAAGCAAAAGCCGGCAGCAATACCCACGTCGGCACAACACAACGTGTAGACTGAAGAGAGGTAAAGATATCCGATTGGAATAGAAGCACATAGAGAAAGGAGTCGCCCTGCACCAGTTACTCAGGGCCCTCTTGCAGGTTGCCATCGCAGAATGCCTCGGCTACTTCATGGTAGGGCATGTCTTTTGCTTGTGTTCTCTTTACTTGAAGCCGAATTTCAGCAAGTGAATTGATGCACACCTGGGGGACATGTAAGAGTCAAAGTCAACATTATCACACTATATCTTGTAATATGTAAATAATCGACGCGGAGACAACAATTTTATAATAGCTATAAAGAGAACAAATTCTGCTGTCATCGCCACACTACAACAAAGTCATGAAGGTTTACCAAAATCGATTTTCTTGTCACAATCATCAGTGGAAAGCCGTGACTGAAGAATAACCATGCCAAATCAATAATTTATATACATTCAATAATGTGTTACGAGAACAAAACAAAGTGCTAAAAATAGAATGAGGGAAGGTGAGACAATAGAAGTAAAGTGAGAGCTAAGTGCAACAGGGGTGAGGAACTAATTACAACGCTAGAACTGTGTAGTGAGACAAACAATCATGCTGTGCACCTACGAAAACAATCTTAACGCAACTACAACATCCAGCTCATGACCAAAGTGGACGCTGCGACGAGGTGATCATGGTGATGCCCCCATCGCCATCGTTGCCGTTGCCTCCCCCAGAACCGCCACCTGCATCTGCCATCGGCAGTGCTGGGGCTGAGTCTGTGGTGTCGCTGGCACGGGCAAATATGGATGAGGTAAGCACTGAACATGAACAAGAAGAAAGAAGGCTGAAGGAAACGGAATTCAACAGAGAAAACGACACGATCAACATTCAAAGACCTAGACGATCAACGGCTAATTATTCAATGAATTATTACAGTACTGGATGTCAAGCACCGGCGAAGACACTGGGAACAGAAGATTTAGCAACAACAGGAACAACAACAATGACAACAACAACAATGGTAACAAATTACCATCAAGATCAAAGGAGGAGTCAACGAACAGAGGTTCAGCAACGTGAAGCGAGCCTGGGACCGATCGGTGGTGATGAGGAGAATGACACGGAGGACGACACTGAGGACGAGTTGGAAGATGAGACGGGGGACGAGGTTGCGGTTGGTGGAGACGAGGAATCGGATGGTGATTGTGATCGTAAGAAGTCTGCCGTTTTTCTTCATCTGTTGTCTCACCCTAAGTGTCTGCAGGTGTATGATGATTTTAGTTTTTCTGTTCTTTGTCGTGCACGGTACGCTAGTCAGTTGAAAGTACTTGAGGCTGTTTGTATTCGTTTGCATAAGCCTGATCTTTGTAAGCAGAAGAAACATGTAGTTGCGTTAAGATTGTTTTCGTAGGTGCACAGCATGATTGTTTGTCTCACTACACAGTTCTAGCGTTGTAATTAGTTCCTCACCCCTGTTGCACTTAGCTCTCACTTTACTTCTATTGTCTCACCTTCCCTCATTCTATTTTTAGCACTTTGTTTTGTTCTCGTAACACATTATTGAATGTATATAAATTATTGATTTGGCATGGTTATTCTTCAGTCACGGCTTTCCACTGATGATTGTGACAAGAAAATCGATTTTGGTAAACCTTCATGACTTTGTTGTAGTGTGGCGATGACAGCAGAATTTGTTCTCTTTATAGCTATTATATCTTGTAATAAGGCGTATTTGCCGGTTTGTTTTTCGACTCTAAATAAACAAACAACAACAATACACTGTTCATAGCCTCACCGTCTAGCAAGCACGGTATTATCACCTCTGATAGGAAGCACACGGACAGCCGTCTCCTAATCTATTTACAGGGATAAGACCGACACACCGTCGCCTGAGATCAAAGATTTGCAAGTCTGGCCAGCAATCAACCATGCCGAATGCACAGTGTATGTATTCCAGGATTCCAAGCCCAGCAGGCAGGAACGGCCTAGATATATGTAGATCTACATGTGGCTGGTCATCCGTGATACCACTGATAAGGCCATAAAACCGTAGTCTGCGCTCCATCATTTGCGAAGCTGGATAAATCTGGCCAACAAGCAGCTAAAGTTATACCGAACTTGTGTAGACCCTTCCAAACCCTCAAGCAGGGATGCCCGTACACAGCTGAGAATAATGAAGCCCGGCACTAAGATCAACATAACACCATTGTTGTTGTTGTGGTTTTTCCTGTGGTTTTTCTTGTTGTTGTTTTTCTTGTCGTTGTTTTTACTTTAATTCGCAGAATTAAACTATTGCCCGCATAATACTGCATTCAACTATGTACAGATCGTACCTTAGCGCGTACGATACGACCATTCTCGATGTCTTGACTGATGAATGACGTGGCGGTAAAGTCATGGAAAGGTTTGTTGCCGTTGTAGGCCTCCTGGACCATACTTCGGACCTGTGAGTGAAACAAACAGATCAAATCGAGGATATTCAATCTAGAAGCTGCAAACAGCCCAGGAACTATTGCGTGCGATGATACATTCATTTACACAGTCTTCGTCTTGGATGATTGTGGGTGATGCTATGTGATACCAAGTGATCACATACATGTACAGGTGAGAGGGATGAAGAAATTAGTGGGTTTATTACGAAGCTCATATGCACTTACGTCGTCACAGAGCTTCTGAACATCGGCAGTGGCAGGTCTTGGAGATGACCATTTTGAAGGGGTTAACGTTCCACCTCCCATAACAGGTCCCGGTCCACCGCTATGAAATCGTTTGCTCATCTTGATAGTTCCTTGCGAGACGATAAACTTGACTGAAAACAGACAGCTTTGAGAGATTATGTCTTACTTTGCACCGCTGGACTGCACGTTATATAGCCGGTTAGCTGTATTCCTTGCACCAGTGAAGCCAGTGATTCTGTAACCACTGTACCTCTACTACATTGTAATTGAATGGGGTGTTGTGTTCATAGATCGGAATTTAGGTTCCAAAAATTGCTCGGTTCCAGTGGCAGCGTTTACGGCATTCAGGAAGCAAAACAAGAGGGTGAAAGAGCCAAAATATGCTTCGTTGCCAACAAAATGTCAGAATGAGATGACAGGCGCGGATCGTCTTAATCACCTCGTTGGTCCCTCCTCCACAATAGTCCCGGGGAAGAGGATATCCTGTCAAAGCTACCAAGGGCATCTCAACTGTCTTCACCTTGCTTGTCCAAGCCACATGTATGATGTACATGTACATGTACACACAGGGGACGCACAAGTATAACGTATCAATACCGCTCTTTACGCAATCGTGTTGTTTATCACCCTCTTTGCCAAGGAGTGGAAAACCACCAATACGTACATGCACGTGCACATGTACATGTATGTATTGGTGGTTTTAAGGGAGCAATGAGCAGGCATATACAATGTATACATAGATAATGGAGCAATGAGCAGGCAGTGGCCATTGACTGTGCAGGGTACTTGTTATTACTTTCGTGATCTCCCGTGTGAGTACTTACAGAATGCCGCTGCATGCACAGCCAAGCGTATGACTTGCCAACTAAAATACTGAGTGGCATGTGACATCCTGGCAATATTAGTACAGTAGTGTACAGAACGTTGCATGCATGCCGGTAGGCAATCTTATTAGGTAACGATTTCTTGCGAAGCTTTTGTGTTCAATTTTATATTTCAATTAAGTGCCCAATGCTGTAGACAGCAAGCTGTTTCGGCCATAAAGGCCTCATCAGTGTTCTATTTATTTCCGAAATTGGGTGGTCTTTTTGATTTGACTCTTACTTCATGGTTTCACGCGATTGGCCCAATTGGTGTTGTGAATAAAACCGTTCTCAAGTGCACAGTACAACATTGGAGCAAAGCTAGTTCGTTACAACACTGAGTATCTAGCTAATATCAGTGCAATCATCAGGCAACACAAGGATGCTGTTGACTACGCCAGTTAACACTCCATAGATGGTAATAGTTGTTGAGGCGACGTGTTATTTTTTTGGGGGGATTGGTTCGTTAGTAAGTACTGCATCGCAATATACATTAATGAGAAACGTTGCATGCCTACATGTGTATGTGGGAACGTGTTTTACGGCTTTCAATATCGTGCTACAAGATTTCGAGGCGTAAAACAGGCTACGTTGTCAAATCCTTGCAAGAAGTGCTCAACACGACAAGGGTACAATGAAAAGTCAGACGTTATTAGTGGAGGTACGCAGAGTACTCTGAGTGAAAGTATTCTTCAGCCTTGTGATTATTGCTAAATAGCGTGTGTACTAAGCTTCAAGTGCCCGCAAACTGAGCTGTCAAAGTGGTCACTTAATGAGAATCATTTTGGGACGGTATACATGAAAACTTTGTTCTCCGAACTGAGAATGAACAAAGGTGGATTCCAAGCACAATTTCTGAATGTTGCATTTTAACTAGATAATACCAGTTATGGAGGAGGTAAAGGTACCTTTTGACTTTTTGACGCCCATCGGTGGAGGCGATCATAGCGACGCTAAAGCAGAAGCCATAGCAACTTGTCCTGGAAATGCATCATTCAACACCTTGCAAGACTGAAGGATTGACCGCCACTATTCAGCCTGGTCTACATCATCCAGCTATGAAGTGGAATTTTCAGGCCAGTGAATCCCTAATTTTTGGTATTTTTTTCATTTTCTTTCCCAAACACATATCACACCACATAATCCGGCATGCAGTGGCTGTTAACAACCACCCAGGAGAATGAAATAAAGTCAGGAGGAGTCTGAGAAAGAGAAGAAAAGAGAAGAAAGACGTGTTTGACCGTAATCGTCGGAATCGAACCCCCAACCTCTCGATCGGGAATCGACTGCACATGCAACTCCACCATTTGAGACACCAGAGTAAAGATGAAAGACAATTCTGATAGACCAGTGAAAACATGACATGTCTTAAACAATCAGTGAGCATTGGAGGAATGCATGGCAAGGTGTAGGGTAGGCAACACCTGCTGGGTCGTGAGTTTAGCACAGCTAATATGATCAGATGTATCATCACAGGCATTGTGTAAACAGTAGGGAAGTGCCATACGAGGGTTTCTGATGTAAAATGGCTTGAGACAACAGATATGCTGTAGAAGTAAGGAAAAGGAAATCATTATGAATTGTTGGTGTAATATGATGCTTGCCTCAGTCAGGTTTGGTGTACGATAACAAAAGCGAGCATATTGTGACCATGTTGTGCCTTGATCAGAGGTAAAGACGTACATGTATACATTATGTTCGTTACTACAAATCAGATTCATCATGTGTCGTCTCAGGACCATCTTGCAGGCTACCATCACAGAATGCCTCACACACTACGTTGAACGGCATCCCTTCAGCCGGGACTTTCTTGATAAGCAAACGTATTTCAGCAAGAGTGTTAATCCGCACCTGCAGTCAGTCAGGATATCGCAACACACCGAGACAAAATTTCCTTATTAGTATCTCAACGCAATGACATACGCTAATTTGAATGTAGAGGTGATTACTGCGTAGTATATATTTTAATCAGCACTGTTTCGTCATGTAGTCGATCGTCTCCTTGTTTTTCTTTATCGGTATTTCCCCACTACCAATGTATTCACCAATCCGTCTCATTTTTCCTGTTTCAAGTGGTGAACACGTCGAGTATGAAATCCCAACTGTAATATTATGTGGTTTATATCACAATATTCGATTCAAACGCCTGATATCGGCTACACTTGCCAAAAGCCTGTGTTGATTCACAGGAAGCGTGAGTTTCGAAGTCTTAGACCAATCCACTGCGACTGCCTGATTAAGCAGTGCTGAAGTGTGTTGTTTCAAATTATGATTCTTGGTAAACCCCAAGGATGAAATGTCGGTATGAACTGGTAGTTTGGTTAAGAGAAGTTCTCACCTTTGAACGTATGATATGACCGTTCTTCACCGGACGACCGATGAAACTCGTTGCAGTAAACTCGCCGAAAGGTTTGCCATGGTTATAGGTATCCTCAACCAAAGAGCGGACCTGCAAGGGATCATAGAAAGATAAAGCTGGAGATTTTTCACACTGCACTTAGGAACGGAAGGAGGGAAACAAAACAAAAAACAATCCAAACGTAAAACAATGTGGTGTCGGCCCTACATGAGCTGTGCTGGTCAAGTGCAGCTACTCTCCCGACTAAAGGGATCGGAATCAATGTACACGGCATGCATCATGGGGGGGGGGAGACAGAGAGAGAGAGAGAGAGAGTTAGAGCGAAAGAGAGACAAATAGGTAAGGGATGGGTGAGAAAGTGAAAGCGAGAGAGGGAATGAGAGAGAGGGGAAGAAAGAAAGCCAAGAAGGGAGTTAGAAAAAGGCAGAGAAGAAAGAAGAAGGAATTCCACCTCCACCACACGCGCGGTCTGGCCAACTTCACCAAATGGCAACACGACTCCAAGTTGTTGTTACTGACAAATATTTTTCCTCCATACACCGCTGTTTCGACCACTATAGGTCTCATCAGTGAAAGTTGAGAAAAATACGTGGCTAGAATTAATTTGAAAGCACAGTTTTGTACATAGAATGAAATGAAGATGCGTGATCCCACGCCTAGAGATAACAGACGTGCTATGTGCTAACATACGGAGAAAAGTTGCAAAATGACACTGCTACGCGCCATACATGTACACGTGTACTGAGGACATCATTGATGCTTTCGCAACAGATTCTAGCACTCTGAAACACAATCATGGACAGAAGCATACATGTACGGAAAATAAGGGTGACAGGTCAGACTTAGCGCTCCTTTGAGTACGAGGGAGAAAGAGATCAAAGCAATATGAAATGATTTGAACCACATCAAACATTCGGATCTACAATGTTGTGCTTGTTCTCTAATCATCCTTTTCTGAATGGTTGACGAGATTTCTAGATTACGTAATTATCTTCTATGTGTATAGTATTAAATCTAACATAGTAGTGTTTCAGAATGCTAGGGGAGCGGGTAGGCCACTTTATCCAATTCAGCTCTCATGGGTCTTCGCCGAAAGGAATGGGAAGGACATGGACATAAAAACGTCGCGATACTGTCAAATCAAAGTAAAGTTACTCATGCTCATGCAGCCTTAGAACATTATGCTGACTGTGCACTTACAAAGTTGCAGAGAAATTGAACATCGGGCGTTGCAGGGCTCGGCGACGTCCACTCTGAGGGAGTAAGCGACGCACCACCCTCATATGGACCAGGCCCGAAATGAAATTTCTTCAAAGCCTCCTCCAGCTGCTTCTTAGTCATCTTAGAAGTCATATCTACTGTCTTCTTCAGTTTCAATAACTCGAATCTGTCCTTGAGTTGCTTGACGAATAATTGATGTAAATAGAACGTGAGGTCTTGCTTTTAAACGCGCCAAAGAGAGCAGCATCTGCTGCTAGGGTTTACCGGGTGTTAGCGGCCGTCGTGAGTTCCCTTCGGGAAAAGAAAAAAAGTAAATTATCGTGTCCGTTCCCGAAGGGAACTCACGATGGCCGCTAACACCCGGTAAACCCTAACGGCAGAAGCAGCGCCAAACGGTGGGGGTGAGTAGATAAGTCTCACAGCCACTGGCACAAGTGCCGAGAACGACATTAGCTGGATCCATGTTCCCTTCGGGAACGGACACGATAATTTACATTTACTTTAAAGAGAGCAGCGGACACATTGAAGGTCTTACGTTGGTTGAACATAAGGTGGCATCCATATGCATTGTGCTTGGGTATGTATAACAGGGAACTGAAACACATTTACAGACTGATTTGCGGTACCTGGTTGACGACATGGGACTGATTTGGGAATTGGCTACATCCATTGAACCCTTCACAAACGAGTTGCCTGTGAATGCTTTGCGTGCGTCACTCTGTATATTGGCACATCAGGTTCACTGTTCTAAGCCATTAGTACACATAATTTGCCACACGGTTGCCTTGTCCCAGATCCCAGTGGAAACCTTATTTACCGGTATGCGTATTGTCACTGGTGCAGCGATGATAATCCAATGTTGGGTATGGTGGGTTGCATGTACATATACATGTAGGTCTGGAGTGATGATTACACGCAGTCAGACACCTCTCCAGGTGAGCTTGCAGTCTTCCTCGACCAGTGAAGACTAAGTGGTTTCGAATGCACTCAATGCACAGTTAAAGCCATCAGGGTAGGAACAATTGCTGGTGCTCTAGCTCATTAGTTCAAGTACTTGGTCAAATAAAAATTAATCAGGACACAAACAAAATACTGGAACGATTAGAACTGGAACAGCTACTGGAAATACTGGAACGATAGCGTGCACGCGTGTGTGAACGATTGGTGTGAACTACGGCAGTTTACTACTTCAGTACGATTCAGACTCTAAATTGAGATATGGTCGATAAGCTCTCTCTCTCTCTCTCTCTCTCTCTCTCTCTCTCTCTCTCTCTTGGGTAAGTGAGGATGTTGTGTAGAGCCTACAGAGTGAGTGCAACAGTACCACCAAAGTGTCTTATTGAACATCATGCTGTACCTCTGTTTTATGTTTTAAAAGGTTGAAAACAGTGGGTCACAACGTATGCCCTAGATTTCACTGACTTGTCACAGATCTTGTCAGACAATCAGATATGCACAATCTAGCAAACTGACCAGTAATACACTTTCTCAATCAATGCCTGGGTGGATAAATTTAGATTTTTTTGGGCCATAAGTAATAATTACAGTGAGGAGTTCGGCCACAACTCCTGCACAAATACCGGTACATACGAATCACAAAGCCCTAAAAAGAAATACTAAACAGCAATGGCTGCCTCTGAAACCGCCAGCGTGGCGGGAGGCTCTTGTTGATCAATTCTTCCGAATAGACCTAAATCTGTCAATGAGCTTGCTTAACGGTATTGGATGTGTCCTGCTCTATTTATTTCACCTTGACAAATCTACTGACGAGACTGTGTCGGCCATTAACAATGGTGTGGATAGGTGTACTTCCTGTGTTCGATACAAATTTTCTATACTAGTAAGACCCCATTGGTCGCTGCCTGTACTGTTAGCAGGGTGGCCAAAGGCCAATGTTGGCACAATACCTTGGGGGAAGTCACTTCCCTCACGACTACCTTTCAGTATTTGCAAATCATCTCAGGAGCTTGCAGCTGCATGGTTTCAAAGCACTCACTCAAGAACATTTGAAACCTTGATCATTCTGCATTGTTCTTTCCCTTAGTGTCATTTGAACACATTCGAATGTCAGACGATTTTTGCACCGCTGCATGTTCCGCGCACTAACCAGATTAATGCCAATTCAGTTCTACCTTTCATGCGACTCAAATGCCCTTTTCTACAGACACAAAGTACGTTCCGGATACTTGGAATTGTACCGTAGCATCTCACTGCCATTAAATTCCAACACCAATTCAAAGAAGATGTGAAACGTAAAGCACAATACGCAACATTAATAAGAATATTGTTGTGCAACTACATGTATCTCTGACCAACTAGACACTTATTGGGAAATTGACCTTGTGCGTGTCAAAGCAGTAGTGCAGTGGATGACATGTCAGAAGGAACTTGGGGTGTACACAAAAGCTCTATTCTCGAAAAGAATGAAAAGTGATAAGTGATGGAACACATCCTGTGCATTGGTTATTGAGGTCCCTCTTGCAAGTTGCCATCGCAGAATGCCTCAGCTGCTTCGAAGTGAGGCGCGCTACCCCTTCTTTTCACTTGAAGGCGAATTTGGGCAAGAGGATTTATACACACCTATAGATAGAGAGAGAGAGGGAGGGAGAGAACAAAGTCAGGTAAGGCCACTTAACATTACATGTAGAATCAACGGTACGCGGTACTGCAAACGCATCATTTCTGCTATACTGTAATATCCGTCATGACAACGAAGTTGCACGAAAGATTTGGCGGTCATATTACCATGCACTTCTGGTGGACAAAAGATGGGTACAATGTGGTGTGACTATGCATGGAGTATGCTTTGTCTATATTGCATTCTACACCCATAAAGTGTACTTTACCTCGCCTAAGTACTTTGCAAAATGTTGAGTGACTGGCGATTTCTTCCTATCCGCCTTAAACTCTTTAGCATTACGATTCATGCACGAGCAATAATAATGCACGTTGAATATTCTAGGCCAATGCAAGAGTTGTCTGATGATTGGTGTGGCGATAAACTTTGACCAGCAACGCGATGAATTTTGATCCTCCCTCTTTCTGTAAGAGAATAATAATTATATTATGCGAATTGCACATTGAAAGACTTTCCAGGCAGTTGTTTGTCGAACCTTTAGACACTGCATATTGCTCAATTGTACTCACGTCTGTGTGCTGTGATGTATACAGCCCATTTTGGTTTTTAAAGCAGACTAAATCCCTACCTAGCTGAACAAGCTAGCAAACGTACCTTGGCGCGTACGAGGAGACCATCATCAGTGTCTCGGCTGATGTAGGACGTAGCGGTAAAGTCATGGAACGGTTTGTTGCCATTGTAAGCCGACTCGACCAGACCACGGACCTTCGGGTGTGACGCACAGAACAAACAGTGGTCTTTAAATGATAGGAAAGTATCCGCTGTGATAAGAGAAGATATGTTTACGTCATCATACATACATGTACATTATACATGTTCATGTTTATATACTCGATCTGCAGATACAACTGTTTCGTTCTTTGTGCACTGAACAGCGCAGCACAGAGAAAATGAGGCCGAACCTGAAAGCAATGAAAAATAATTTTTCCCAATCCAGATTTCAACCAGGCCCGAACGTACCTTGCCAGAGTGCATATATGTACACGTAAATTTCTCGTTAAGTGAGACATCAATCTTGAGTTCAAAATTAACCAATGGGCTACGCTTGCAACAGAAGTAGGCGCGATAACATGCGTCTTTGCTCAACTCAGGGTTTGACCTCATTATTAGTGTAGTGAGCTGAGGTGTAAAGAGTGAGAGGTCGAATACAACACATTCTAACCAAATAATAGTTATTATGCTGCCCATGTTGCAAGAACCACACCATGCAAACTTACACCGTCACAGATGTTCTGAATATCAGCAGTTGCAGGTCTAGGTGACGACCATTTGGAGGGGTCCAACGTTCCGCCTCCTATTACAGGTCCGGGTCCTCCCACCGGAATTCCGCTGATGCTCATCTTGATTGCGCTTTGGAAGAATTTACACTGGAACTGAGTGATTGCTTGCAGAAAGTGTGTTTGATTCGGCACCGCTTGGATCGCGCTTATATAGGCAGTTGAGCAGTCTGTGTGTTCGTTATAATACTCTCGGCGTGACCCATATCCTATCCAGGGTGATAAACACGATGGTATTGTTTTCGTTACTAGTGTGGCGTTCTATTGACTTGGGGTGTATATGAAAGACACCCACTAGGTCGGAGTCTCCACAAGCAGCGCACTAACCGATTACGTAGTCATAGAGCAAGCCTTTGGTTCAGTGGTGACGCAGGGCAAGAAATCAAGGTACATGTTTGAAGGTTTATCATGATAACACTTTAGTTTGTATGGTATGTCCTATACATAAATACATGACAAAACCGAACAATTGATCCTGTTGCGGTGGTTATGGCAAACAAAGGTTTTTTCTGCTGTAATTGACTTTGTGAAATTGCACACCGAAGGCGCCATGTCAGAACATCCAGCTGACAGTAAATCAGGGTTAAAGGCGAACATGACACCTGGAGAACGGCACATGGTAATCATGCACGGATTTGATCTACTAACCCGGCCTTCACTCTCCGCCGAGCCATGAAAATAGCAGTTTCCGTGAATGAGCAGTTTTGAAGGCATGTGAAGGCTGAGTCTGTATACACTGGAACAAGTGACGGCCAAGGTGTTGAAATAATACTGGCAACGCTGGTTAGGTCGGCCTAATAGTATTCTTTGATTGGCGACATGTCAAGAATGCCAATGCGGATGTGACAGCTGGCCTGTGTTTTCTTTGCCCTTGACTGGCCCCACGAACAAGGGATCACAAACAAGCTGCTTACACAGGCCGTACATTGTTTGGCAACTGAGCCACCTGTCAATGATGAACTGCGTGTTGATCTTCAACACATTGCGCCTGTAAAGGTTCTCTTAGTCTATTGTTGCACCACACAATAAATATCGGAAACCACGGCCAGCTATCCATAGCGCCATGGACTGCAGGCCACTAGTAGTTCATTAGTGGACGTGTTGCCTGCAATTCACTTGGGGATGTCCTCCACTTGAATTCGATAGAACATGAATTACGTCAGTGCATGCAGGCTCCCTGAATTGGTTGATTTTCATGGTATAAAGGATGCATTGTGCACGATTGCTGTACGTGTGTACCATTCTTGAATGCAATAGCTCCACGTGGTACATGAGTAAGGTATCATGCACTTATGTTATTCAACAAATATCATTGCGACTTCTCGTAACATATATGCTGGCACACACAGCGACAAAGACGGGAACAGCGACAACACACGGAGTGAAGTGTAGTTCACCGCAGCCAGATGTGACTCTCTGTAATTAAATTTTACGTGTAGGATGTTTCTCTTGCCGCTTTTGATGTGGTGTTCGGCTTCTGATCTACATGCAAGGGGGGGCAAGGGGGGTGGCATATAATTGAACAGCTGCAACACATCCAGTGATTGACTTACATCGTTACTGAATCTTTATCGATCTCGGGTGAATTATTGACGCGATTGAGACGATGTGATGCATTACCATGCTCTGACCCAAGCTAAGAAAAGTAAATTTCCACCGCTATGGTTTTTACTTGAACCGTATTGGCATACATGTACATGTAGTGGACAACTTTCCGTACACTCAGAACCATAATAAATTATTGAAATCTTGACCGACCCATTCAAAAACCCTTTTACATCCTACCAGATACACCACAACGAGTTTAGAATGCTAACCGTGGTTCGCTCAGGGCCACGGTACATGCATCCTGTGTTCTCCACGTAGTCTAGCTCCAACGCAGTCTCCTGTTTTGCTAGCCACTTCAACTGCATTCAGTTGCATCGTGGTGCGCGTTTAACTATAGCTTTTCCAGTCACCGTGCCTGTGGAGAAGAATATGGAGAGGAGTTGCAAAGGAGCGTCTTCATGGCCTATACAGTAAGAGGTCGAGTTCTGATAATACTTAATCTCAGGGACTGGGAAAAAGTTATGTTATGACTACCAGTCCACAGGTAACGAGATAATATTATTATACTAGTAATTGAAGGTCCCTTTTTCTCATTATACAAAAGAGAAAGACCAAGGAACTACAAGTTACGCTATACTGTCCACTAACACCACCAGTTACTAAACAATCAGCCTTGGTCTTTCTCTTTTGTACAATTAGTTAAACCTAGGCTCTCCACCTGAGTCCTTTTTCTCTTAACATATTACTATTGGGCCGAGGAAGGCGAAACAAAACAAAGACAAAAAAACAAGAATGGGTGTGTAGGCGCTACATGAGCTGGTGAGGTGAGGTGGATTCCTTCGATCAAGGGTCTCGGGATCGCCGTACACGGCAAGCACCATGGTGTGTTTGGACGCAATCACAACTATAATTATTATTGTTTTCCCGTGCATGGCATGTACATGTACATATAAAGGACACAACCAGGATTCAGCAATGAGCATGGGATACAACGGTTGCGTTGGTGGAAATTCGGCGCGAAACGACACTCGAACCCAGGCGCTAGTCACTTCAGTCGATCATGGACTCGTACTCGTTCACGAGTTGGTAAAACTCTCTACTGTGTGTGATTGTCTATTGGATTTAATATAACGTCGGCGGAGATTACGCACTCCATGGCCGTGAGGCACAAAATGTCGGGGAAAAAAACAACGGAGTTCTCAAATACTAGTACAGTGATGGCAACGTGAAGTATGCGCGGATGCCGAGACCATTGGTCGGCGGAGCCTGCAGCACCCCATCACCACCGCTGCGTAGCATTTGCAGCCCCATTCAGTCAATGTCTTGTTAGTCTGTTGTTTTGTCATTTCCTGCTTCTTTCTTCTTTTACGAATTGGGTGCGTGGTTTCAAGTAAAAAATAAATAAAAAAATAAAATAAAAACTGAAATCCGACCCCCTGAGCGGTCGGTTCACGTTCTAGCGGCCTCCGTTTGGTAGTTTTACCATCTGGTGTTGGGTCTTTGCGATGTGAGCTCATCGCTCAGGGGGTCGGATTTCAGTTGCCAGTACTGTGCTATAAGATTGGTAGGTGTCTTAATTTCCCCAAGTGCAGTCAGTTTCTTTAGAAAATGGTTTGTTTCGTGACCATTTTACCTACTCGGGAAGGTCTTCTATATTTGCCCAGCTGAACGTACCTTGTCAAATCAACTGTGAATAGCGCTATCTCCATGACAACACGGCGGTTGACGACCCCCACCTCTCACTTCTCTTTATCTCTTTCTCTCTCTTGCGGACTCCCTCTCTCTCTATATCTATCTATCTCCCTCCCTCCCTCTCTCTCCCTTGCCTCTCTCTCTTTTTTTTTTCTCTCTCTCTCTCTCTCTGGCTCTTTGCACGAAGAACTGCCAAACAATCCCCTAGTACTGCAGAAAGCCACTCGTCTGTGAATACTACGTGGCCAATGACAGTTCTATTCTTTCCCCGGGTATCCATTATGCAGTTATGAATTGTGAGTACTAGCGCAGCACAGGGTGCTCTTGTGTTGGCTATGTTCACTGTACGTACATGTAAACCTCTGAGAGTGCAGTCAGTTAATGTAACGAGATAACATGACCAATTAATCACAACACTCACGTCCATAACGCGTACTCAAAAGGCAATGAGGTCTATATTGCCGATTTACAGAACAAACAGATTCGTGAAAATACGAAAATTTGCTAGAAGATACTAGAATAACTACAGAGTTTGAAGAACGGGGATTTCCAACAGTAGTTAGAATTTCGAGATTAGACAAAGACCATAAGTACTGTAGCTGTGATGGTTGAGATCGCTTATGTACATGTACAGTGTACACAGTACTGTCGCTGCAGTCATTCATGAGTATGATGCAGTTTATGGGTCAAAGAAATAAAGGTTTTAACACGAATATAGACGATGACCAAGAGTGAAATAAGCTGTAGATAAACAGATCATCACCAGGGTTGGTCATTCAGAGGACCATCACAGACCACTTGTTTCAGCTGCGGAGGACCTTGAACTCCATCCAGAAGTGGTGGTTGGAACACTTCGATACGAATCAGGGACACGTCGTTTATTTGAACCTGCATAATAGACAGCAGAGTACATGTATGGACGTACAGCTGAGGTCAATCAACCGCACGATGGAAAGTACTAAGATTTCAGCCTTCATTACAAGTAAGAATAACTCTTGTCCATTTCAATACTTACCTTCAACGTACCTATAATGTACATGTATGTGCTACTGTGTCGACACTGATTTAAAGAACGGTGAAGTCGCATCTTCGCCTTATCCGTGTGTGAGTGTAATCCAGAAATACTCACCGGACTGCTTTCATCGTCCTCGGTTAAACCAGTTTAAAACAATATCCTCCATAATTTTACCCATGACGGCGCTACCAGCAGGACTGGACAAAGCTGTGGGACTTAGCGTTGAAAACCCCATTTTGAATGCGTTTCCATTATACGTTTCTCACCTTGACGCGATAGAGCATCCCTGCCACAACAGCCTGTATGTAGAGCTTTGCAACGAATTCTCCAAACTGGTTTCCTCCGTTAATCCTGTCCTGAACCTCGATTCGAACCTAGGCATAGTTACACACGCAGTTAGGCAGATTAAAAAATTATTCCTAGCTTCAAAAATTGTTCTATTGGACTTGCCCCATTATGTCGCACCAAGAGTACATAGCCTCCCAGAGTGTGCAACGCATGATCCAGCTCTGTATAGGGTCTTGGTCGAGCGTAATCGGATCTTATCATGTCATGGGTACACTCCACACCAGCACAAGGCCGCTCTCGAGGCAGGGCACCGTTATTTTTGATCCGAGAGTACCCGCAACTCCCGGGTTTCCCTCAGATGTGTACGGTATTATGAGGCAAAGATTCGATTATGCTCGATCAAGACCCTATGCAGAGCTGGATCAGGCGTAATGTTAAGATATCCAACCGGTTTGTTGAGATTTTTGACAGCGTATGGTGAAAAGACTTCAAGGTCAAGTCTCAAAACTTTCTCAACAAATTACAAAGGTATAGTTGACTATGCTGCAGATACAAATATGAATGCGGGATGGAGTACTATTCATTGCACTGTGAAGTGGCGAAACTAACACACCTGGAAAACTTCATTACTGCTCGCTCAATTACACTTTAGAATGCACTCGCAGCACTCGACATAGTCCTGCTTACCTGGTTGCAGATTTCACTTATACCCAAATCAGCTTCCTTAGGTGGATGGCTCCATCCTCCCATGATTTTTGGACCTTGCGCCATGGTTGATTCGCAAAGATATCGGACCAAAAAATAGCAAAACTGGATATACTAAGAGTTTAAAAGTCTGACGGAAGAAACTCTTGGGTCCACGCTTATATTTCACTCTCGGCTTATAGTGCGCGCAGTTGGCGGATGTGCGGGTATTTCACTATTGAGGTTCGCATTGGGGACCACTCGTCGCTTTGCAACAAAGCTGGGAAACGGAAGTCCGGCACAGAATATTACAAGTTGTGAATGAGACGTGGGTGCGTATGTGTGCGTGTGTGCGTCTTGACGTTACGGCTCATCTCATTTGTTTTCCACACCAGCATTCCTTATCAACTGTCTTAGTTTGACGATGATTGCCAACAGAAGATTCTTGTTTTGCAGATGTGGTGTGTTCTTGTCAGGTAACAACATACGGTGGATAACCATTCCATTCTGTTCCCGGGTATCAGCTTTGCGCTGATCTTATACACTAGAACTACAATCACAGTACAAGGATTGCTTGTATTGGAGGTCACGTACATTAAATTATAATGATCTATTCTGCTCATGAATTGTCGCCTGTATACTGTCACTTGTCCTTAATCACAACTATTCACGTTTTGGAGATCAAGTCTACAGGCAGAAGGAAGGTGTTACCATGGGCAACCAACTTGCTCCTCCATTTGCTATTATCTTCATGCACTGCGCCGAGACCCGTATGTTGGAGATTGCCACTCTCAAGCCAACTCTCTTTGCAAGGTACATCGACGATACAATTTTATTTTTGGATCTATGGCTTAGCTGCTCTACGTATATTACTTGCCCACTGCAATTGCCAGCACCCTATTATCAAGTTAACGTACGAAAGTAGTGAAAATGGACCTGTTCCATTTCATGACGTTCTCTTTGAGGTTACTCCTGCCGGCACCATTACACACCGCCTGTACAGCAAGCCTAGTGACAGTGGCGTCCACGTGAATTCCATTCCAAAGGCACTGATGATGTCCTCACGGCGCTGCACAATGGATGGGTCCGCACAGTTGCTGCTGGGGGCCATGCCCAGGTTATAGCACTGGATATGGCTGGCACATTTGACCGCGTGTCACATGCAGGTTTGATCTACAAGGCAGCGCAAATCGGAGGGACGTTATTGCAGTGGATCACGAACTACCTCTCGAATTGCCAGCTCAAATTGGTTATATACGGGCAAACATCAACACCTCTTGCAACCTCAGCTGGAGTTCCACAGGGTAGCATACTTGCCCCCACGCTCTTCCTCCTTTACGTCTGTGACATCGACCAGTGCCTAACACCAGGCACTAAGCTGAGCACGTACGCCGATGATATTACACTGTACCATCCCGTGCTACCGACTGGTGATCCTGCAAGCCCCGGACACAGGCTAGGCTCCGGCGGATTATGCTCGCGAAATCATGGAATTATGCTTTCATGTATTATGCTTTGGGATGCCGGGATACTTATTCACTCTGTTTTATTTATGATGCCTCAAAGTTCGGAAAATTGTGCCATTTTCGTACTTGCAAGTGGCCATATGTACAACAAAATGTTACATGAGCATTCCCATACCAAGGTGTCCATGCATGCTAGAGATCAACATGAAAAAGAGAAAACATTACTTCTTCTATTCATTAGTTGACCTCTTCCGTAAAAAGATTGTTTTTGAAGAAGGGCTGAGGCTTCCTGCAGCTTCATCTCTGAAAGGAATTCGAGCGAACACACCCATTCTCATACCGCTGCACATCATAGCCAGTTGCGTCATTTTACAACGTGTTTTTTGGCACTTGGCCATCGTCAGTTCATAACAATGAATACCGTTGAAGCCACACAAGAGCAATATATGTGTACGCAGATTGTAGTGCCAAAAAAGATGCGAATTATGTCACCTAGTATGCAGAGGGGGGGGGGGGGCAGAGAGATAGAGAAGGTGCAACTAGCACATCACGGAGAAGAAGCTGCAGAAGATAGCGCGCCATTGCATTGTGCTCTGTGAAGTGAGGGCGCGTGCCATGGCGTTACGCGGAGTGTAGCGCCAAAAAAAGGTAGCGAGTTATGTCACCTCTATGCAGAGGGGGAAAGAAGGTGTAAGTGTGCACATCACGGAGAAGAAGCAGCAGAACTGAAGACAGCGCGCCATTGTGCTCGGCGAATCGAGGGTGCATGCCAAATAATTTTGGTGTTAATTCTATCACATAACAGGATTTTTTATTGCCAAAATGAGTTTGAGTTACCTTAGAAAATTATCATGTTCAATTGTCTTCGTAATCAAGTCGTTATACTCGTCCAACCAATGTCACCGTCAATGGCCTCTAGGCTCCGGAGGATTATGCTCGCGAAATCATGGAAATATGCTTTCATCGATTCTCGCATTATGCTCGCAAAATCTTCATAATTATTATGCTTTGGGAAGCGGGGATACTTATCCACTTTCTTGTACTTATGGAGCCTAAAAGTTCGGAACATTGCTTTTTTCGTACTTGCAAGTGGCCATTCGAAGTACAACAAAATACGTGAGTATCCCCATGCCAAAATAACTTCTGCTGCTCGTGCATTCTAGAGATCAACATAGAAGTTCAACTGTCTCCGTGGTCGTCTTACTCGTCCAAAATTTCAACCTCACCCTGCGAATGATCAGCCCATCTCTCCCGCAGCTCCACCTCTCTTTCCGTCATGACCGAACATCAACGGTATGACTGCTAAATTATTAGAATAATATCCACTAGATCAAGTGCATACACCAACATCGATATTTGCAGTAGGAGTTGTCGAAAGATTATAGCCTGAATTCATTTTATGGCTGCTAAAATCTAAATTTCATGATTTCGTGTCATGCATAATGTACATTTACAAGTGCATGTACGCGGAATGTTGCGGACTACCCATCGATATCTCGTCTGCCCCAAGTGCAAGGAGGACGAGTTCGAGCATACCACAATGTATTGTCATGATTTTTACCCTGCTGTTCACTGTACTTAATTGTGTAGCCTACATAGTAGAACTGTAAGACAACCATGAAGTTATGCTCCTACCTCCGAAAGGATGCCAAATTATGCTCCAAACTTTCAACCACCAAATCATGCCAATAATTATGCCGGATTAATCCGCCGGTGCCTAATGGCCTCGCCCTGCGAATAATATGCTCATCTCTCTCGTAGTTACACCTCTCTTAATCATTGTTGTGATTTGCTTTCAAGCAATGTGCATAATCAGTAAATTGATGTTGCTGGTTTTGTTTTGTTTTTTTTTGGTTTCCCATTCTCGGGGCCTTCTATTCTGTACTCTTAGTAGTTGTACTTGTGTACTGTTGAGCTATCCAAATTCAAATAAACACTAAAAAAAACTCTCCTTCCATCATGACCGGACATCAACTGTACCTGAATTATTATTAGCGCAATATCCAAACATGTATCATGGCTGCTAATTTCCAGAGGTTATGACTTCGTAACATGCATAATAATGTACATTTGCGCGGAGTTTTGCGGATAACCCGTCACCACAAGTATCTCATCCGCCCCGGAATACCTGATAAAGACTAATTCACTCGCATATTCTGCTACATGTACTGTATCAGTGTGAGAAAGAGCTTTGAAGAAGACGAGCCTGAGCAGACAATTTCATGATTGCTATCCTGCTTTTCATTGAAAACACTAGCTGCTTGACCTCCGAACCCTTTACCATGCAGACCACCAGCACTGATCAGTTGCATTGTACACAATTGTGTAGCCTACATACTAGAACTGTGGTACAATCATGTAGTTATTCTCCTACCTCCGAAAGAATGCCAAATTATGCTCCAAATTTTCAACCACCACATTATGCCGGCGTAATTCGCCGGTGCCTAGGCTCTGCACATTTGTGCACTGAGCACTCTGCTTCCAGCTGCCTTGACAGGCCTAGTTTGATCCATATACAACGCATGCTGCCACCCCATCCACTAAATCAAGAACAGCTGTTGCATAATTCAGTGTGGACTTTCTTTGCCTCGACTGTTGTATCATAACAACTTCAAGACAAAACTGTCATGATAGGCCAGAGAGCATGTCATGCCCTGTCAATGCCCTGTCAGCCTATCAATAATTATGTCTTGTGAACATATGTTCCTCCAGTGTGACCCTGGATTGCTATTTTCATAAATCTACGCAGTGCGTGAATGATAGTCTTGCCTCTCGTATCATACAATTTTCATCCATTAACATATGTTATAGTTCAAATCTGAAGGTGTACGACGGAATAGAATACATGTACCAGAATTGAGAATCCATAAATACAAAATACAAATTAAATAGAAGTCAGAATGGTTGACTAAGAAGACCATCAGATGCAACTGCTAAAAGCTCAGGGGGTATTGGTTTCGCTGCTGTTTGGACGAAAAGGAATACTCGGATTCGAATCAAGACATCCTCACTGATCTGCACCTACAGCAGAGAGAGAGAGAGAGAGAGAGAGAGAGAGAGAGAGAGAGAGAGAGAGAGAGAGAGAGAGAGAGAGAGAGAGAGAGAGAGAGAGAGAGAGAGAGAGAGAGGGAGAGAGAGGGAGAGAGAGAGAGAGAGGGAGAGAGAGAGAGAGAGGGAGAGAGAGAGAGAGAGAAAGAGAGAGAGAGAGAGAGAGGGAGAGAGAGATAGAGAGAGTCGATACTGTGAGCCTACATGTATCACGTACAGTGTACACAGAATATGTATGCACACAGACACATAATTATAGAGAATGGAGCATGCACACCACCAACACGTCTGAGCACAGTCACTGGCAATGCAAATTGCATGCTGAAAATGTTACAAGTACACAAGAGTTTCGGAGACAGCGGTTTTAATATAGCTACAAAGAGGAGTAACTGTGCTGTAAGCATTGCTGAACAAATACTCTCTTTCCCTTTCGTTGTGTGCCTTGCGATCGTCGTAAAACATTTTACACATACATGTCGACATTATAGGAAACGCTTACCGTGGAATTAGTCCTCTTTGTAGCTATATTGAAAATGTGTTTCAAGATAATGTGCAGAGAAAACAGTATGCGCAATTGCTGAACCCTACTCGCCCTAGTCTCTCTGCTGCATGTTGAGGGAAAGTCCCGGCTGGGAGGCTTACAACAGTTTTCGCCATTTGCTGAGCGAATACAACAGTGCTTACTTTGATGCGATAGTCTGCTCCTGTGGTCACCAGCCGAATGTAGGTTTTAGCAGTGTATTGCTCAAACGGCTTTCCTCCGTGCACCCTCTCCTCTACCGCTTTCCTGACCTGCACATGAAGGCATACAAATTGAGATGCAAAACATTGGTTTATTACGCCAAGTCCTACTCTACATGGAGTGTACAATGTAGGTTCGGATCAAATTTCCTTCTACTGTGCATCACCCTTCGCGTGTACGGGATCATCATGCCAGTACTTGTGCGTATACTTGCTTTGAATACGCAAGCACACGGCCTACATTACATGGAAGCGAATTTGAGAAAGGGGTATAGGAAGGAGCAGGAAGGTTGAAGGTAGTCCTATGAGCCAAGTTTAAAATGTGTTGCAGCTCTTGTCCCATGGTTAATAGCACAACTCCTTCACCCCTGTTCATTACAACCTTCCGTTTTCTTTCCTCTATTTTCCACAATATCCTTTAAAATTTTATTCACAGTGGGTTCAATGTCAATAGGCATTATGCCTGTTTCGATTTCCGCTATAAATAAAGTATACACACACATGAGCTACAAACCTATCGTCGTTGTCTGTTATTCTTGTTTTATTTTTTTGATCTTTCGAATAGATCCCGTGCATTGAGCACCTATCATCGAACATGAGTTATGTGCCTATCGCCTGCTGTCTTACATTTATTTTTGTTTTCCTCCCTGCCCACTCTGCCTGTCTTCTGGCACATGCGAATACGTGGACTTACTGTTGACGTAAACGCGGACGTGCGTATAATAATAATATAATAATAATACACACACACCCCTCAGTTTAGACCAAGCACATGGCCCACTATGGACAGATTGATCATTCATTTCCAAATGAGAAATACATCCATTCATTCCAGTCTCCACCTGTAGAGAGTGGTGTAGGATCCAGGCAAGAATGCTACGCAATATTGACAACTGCGCCGAAAGTCTTTGAATTAATGTACAGTGGCACTAAAGAAAACTTTATGCCTGAAATCTATTGTGCGTTCCGCGATTTGAAGGGTAACACCTGTGGAGAGGATAGCATACACCTACTAATACATGATCCGTGCTGATGGCACTGGGCACTGTTGAAGGTGATGAAGTTGCACGCCACAGCGCTGTAAAGAATCGCACAATCTAGCTTTAACATGTACATTTCACATAATCATTGACTAGAGAAACATACTTCGAAGTAATAGAATCATATGCAAGGAAATAGTGGGTTTCGCTCACCTGGTCGCAAATGCCTTGTATTTCTGAATCAGCGGGTTTAGGTGGCTGATCCAAGCCTCCTATTAGAATGGCTTGTTCTGCTAAATCAATCCCTGCCTGTACTTCCAGGTCCATGGTGCAATGGCAACGATGACAGTGCTGAAAAGCGCCTAGTACTAGTACATACTACTTACTAGCAAAGTAAACTAGAACACTTTCTGAGTAATAACTGAGGCAAGACGGCACACACAGCTATAATTATAGCGCTCCACACCAGTGTGTGGCAGCGGATGTACCCGGGGCAGCTGGGGTAAAAGTCAACAAAGCTGCATCCTGTAACCTGGATGTACACAATGCCGTTATGCCGTGTACTAGTACGTTTGAGTAACGTCTCGTGATGAATGGCTAGACTTGAGCAACGAACTAACTACTGGACTTGTCATGTCCTGAATGACCAAGCGCTGCTGTTTGGCACCCAGCTGTTACGTACGATCCACGAAATCTCAAAGACAATGGACAATAAATTTCCATCTGGCTCCAGAGCCTGAAGGGTAGTGACTGAATGGAGCGTAAAACTTCAAATATATTATTTTCATACAGCTGTATATCATCAGTGACTATCTCGTATAAGTCTGTGTAACTGACTTAGGTGTATTAGTACTGTACCAATGTATGTACGAGTACATATGAATTATGATAGGAACATGACAACCAGATGTGTTTGGCTCTCAGAAAAAGCTGCTCTCCAGGAGAATGTCTAATATGACCCAGGTCCGCCGTGTCACGAAAGGTCATGATCACCTGACCAGTGACAGTTCGCGGTTTACCTACAGCCGTTGAACTGGACATAATAGGTATGTACAATCGCTAGCTAAATGAATCTAGGTAGCGCTCCATGTATGATTTAAAATGTGCTGCTACTTCAAGCATTCTGCAATATCGTGATACTGATACATGTACAAATGCACGTCTGCTAAGCGTTTCAGTCAGTGATTGCTCAGTGGGCAGTGGACTTGTGCAAAATGTAATAAAGGAATCAGTGTACCTACATGTACATGTACATACGCTCAATTGTTCCGCTGCACACCAGGAAAACATGTACACGCATCAACCATTCACTATTATAAGTTGTGCTGCTTGAAGGTTCCACTGTACACGGATGCAAGCATGCAGGGCTTGCGCGTTGTGAGAACTCCAATCTTATCTCTTGGGTAATAAGTGGCTGATGTGATGTGGCCAGAGGACACAAGTGATACAGTCCAACAAGCAATTATGGAAAACTCGAATCTGTTGTGCGCAATTTCACCTCCTCCTTTCAGCCCCCCCCCTCCCCCTCCCTCCCCCTCCCCCCCCCCCCCCCCCCCGGGTCACATCACACTACATGCCCCAACGTGGATCATTGTGGATCCATGTTGAACAATACTAGTAGTACGGTATGATATTCTAATCTAACCATTACTAGACTGATGAAAGTTCAGTTTCCTCCCCTACACACAGTGCTCCGCAATCACGCCTTCCCATAAGGCGGCTTAACGCAAGAACACAATCCCTAGGCACCAGTGTGCCTTAGAATCAACTCTTGCGTGAATGTAGGATTGCGGGTAAAACCTACACATTAGCCTTTCTGCCACTCAGAGTATACGATATAATTATGCGAAGTTAGTCAGTGTTTTGCGGTATATTGTGAAGAATCCGTGATGGCATGTACATCTACATGTACTTCTACAGATACTGTCTATTGATCAGAATGGCATATTAATGTACATGTATATTCCAAGTCGAAATCTGATACAGCTGATGAAGTCTAAAAGTTCAAAAAGTAAAATCAGTGACTTCGGAAATCTAAATAGCAAAGGATAGAAGAAATGTATTACCTCCAAGTCGTCACATTTGATATTATTGAGTTTCATGAGGAATTGCACATCAGAATGGCTGGCTATTGAGAGGACCATCAGCGGCGACTTCACCCAGCACGGGTGCAGCTTGCACACCGTCCAAAAGCGGACTTTGAAACACTTCGATGCGAATCAAAGACACGTCATTGATCTGAACCTGTAAGCAAACCCAAGGTACAAATAATTGTGCATACGTGCGCCAGTGGAAGCGACACACATGTGGCAGAGCTTAGGGCTTCCATTTCAGTGTTCTTAATTCAGTGACTCTAAGCTTCTATGAATGAGACTCTAACAAGGTCGAAACAGGTAGCTGGGACTGACTTTGCACGAATAAATCAATTTTTCTTGTACCACCTACGGTTATACTCTTATACCGCAATGGTTGTGATAACAAAAACCACCTCTTTCTCTGTAGAGAGGGAAATGACGTATGGATACGACTTACATGTAATATCACTTTAACCAGGAACTTTATAAAGTTAGAAAGTGCAACTATTAGGCACAGAACTGACAGAGTACTGAGACATTCGACGACCTGATAGGTGGACGCAATACATCTCCGAAGCGCTGAACAACAGCCTTCCAGCTCGGAAGGTTCTAGTAAGGAGAGACGAAATATACAATATATCCTTTTCCTTTCTACATTTATCATGGGCTTAACATCCGTTTTTCCAATCTTGGGCTGAACAGCTTTTACATATCATGTACATACAAAGTACGTGTAGAATGCTATGACAAAACATATTACTCAAATACTCTACTCACTCTGATGCGGTAGTTCATTCCAGCGACAACCTGCTCGATGTAGAATTTGGCTACAAACTGCCCAAATTGCAGGCCTCCGTTGATCTTGTCCTCGACTGCCTTTCGAACCTGAGCGTGGAGGTGCACAGACAAAATAGAAATGAATGAGTACAGGTATATTCATTTAACGTTACATGTGAAAGTAGTCTACGAGACCATACCAATGGGATCCTAATTGGAATCATAGCACATTTTAGTGACGGTAGCTCGAATACATGAATAGTTCAGATGCAGAACTTCAGCATGCATAGCTGTACTGCCTAAGTTATGTCTCTGACCCCCCCCCCCCTCTCCCTCGTCATGGGTACCACGCACCAGTGCCGCTCACAGCAGAGAATGTAACATACCTGGTTGCAGATTTCTTGGACACCCAAATTAGCCTCCTGCGGTGGATGACTCCATCCTCCCAAGAGTTGTGCACTTTGCTCCATAATTAAATCGAGGTGGTATCATAGGAAAGCACGCTAAGTCCTCAAAGCGAAACAAACGGTTATGAAAAGCGCAGGGCGAAACTACGGCTTATATAGTTTTCTCCGACCACTGTACGTACGTCTGATATACAAGGGCAGGAAACACTGTGTCCACATGTAGACTGCAAGTCTAGCAAGCGAGCCGAAGATCTGAACGCACGCCGCGATGCCAGTTCATACACTGTAAGCCTTTGGTAATCCAGATTTGCAAGTACTAGCTTGTCACTTTAATAGAAGTCCCTTGATACCCGTGGAACATGAATGAGTAAACAGAGTTCGCAATGCGCAATGGACTTCGCTGAAAGAGGCTTTCATGATGACACCAACATGTCACGTTGCTAATTAGCGTCTGCCCACGGAGACTTCACACAGCCGCTGTTGTGTACTGATGCAGGTGTAATACAAAGTTGGGTCGAGTGCAGAATGTCACACAATTACTGTCAATCCTTCCATTCGGATTTGATGTAAGTACAACGTATGAGACGAGTTTTCGAGGATGCCTTCCGCCTTACAGCTAAACCAAACACCTGCCTAGTGACTTCTGACACTTTACGTTGCAATTAATTCGGCTGGTGATTGTGCCTGCCGTGGGCCCACCAATAGTACGAAAATAGACTATCCACAGCTATTAGAATAATAGTTCCTGACGGCAACCCATTCATACTGTTCTATCCCCAACAGCCCCCATGACATATTCATTTCACTTGATCATGTCCAACTACTGTAGTCCCTTGCCAGCCTTCCTGTTCACATGTACATGTACATGTAGTCAGCCTCTTTTACGGGCAAAATAAACACAATGAATAATTATTTTTTCCCAAGTGTTCCAAAAACTTCAACTCAAAGTTCTAGAAAGAAAGAAAAAAGAAAGAAAAAACACGCAAAAAAACAAAACAGCGTAATAATGTATAATACCTACTTAGGTAAACAGCAGCAAGTTCAACTTCAAGTCAATATTCCAGTCACTTTTACCGCTCGTGCACGCTAAGCCGGTACCAGAGCCTCTACCACTGGCAGCGCAGCAGAGGTATCACCCACAGCCAAGGCAGACTGGCAGCGCAGCAGAGGTATCACCCACAGCCAAGGCAGACTGGCAGCGCAGCAGAGGTATCACCCACAGCCAAGGCAGACTGGCTAGAAAGCCTTCATGTACATGTACTCTGCTGCTCACAACTAGTCGAAGAGGATGACAAACTCGCTGTGACTCAGAGTTTCACCAGCACATGAGACATCAGACACCAGTTGTTGTACAATGCGACGTATTGAAATCCGAACGAGCGAGTTAAGCGCACACCAGGCACTGCGCAGCCGTAGAAATGTGAGAATTGGGTTGCAAAATGGTGCAAGGCACAAACTAGACCCACGCAATCATAGTTCATTGACCAGCATGTACATGTACAATTGCTAGTACGTTCCTTTTTAAATTTAGAAATATTCATCTGCGTGCTCCAGGTCTCGTTTGCATCATTCAAGAATAGTTTTGCATATTGCCACTCTCAAAGCATAGGGATAACGCTTGATTTCACCGTTGACCTGAGTGTGTGTGCTGGAGAACAGGTACATGAAGGAACAGCGGCAATAGTAATCATATAATAACTCGGGAGCACATCTTTAGGGCCAACAAGAACTGGCATCCACTTAAAGTACGTGCACTGTGTAATGTGATGGATTGAGCTAATATTCATTCATGATCTGTCAAACTGAGTGTGTGGGAGTGATACTGCCTCACCATTTGTGTGGCCTCATATCCGAAACCCTGCGTAGTATTTAAACGGAAATGATAGACAAAGGGTAGGTTCATGCGTGGTCTCTATAAGAAAAAAATCTGATATAAAGTTCTTTCAGCAGAGATGTGACTTTCTGAAACTGCATAAACGCACTGTTATTGTGTGTCTCAGCAACTCGTTACTTTCGTAGATCATTTCAACCTACATTGTAGCATGGATTGGCCAATGCTACATTGTACCTAGGTATTTTGTTTTAATTCATTGATACAGGCATACGCGATAGTGTATTTCATGCATGACATTTCCAGTTCTAGTAATGTAAAACACACCTGGTCCCCAGCACATGTACATGGACTTTGAATTGGAAGTCATCAGTGAGCCCCTGGGCTAAATCCTGCGGGATATTCTCAGGCCAAGTTTTGTAACTTTGAACTGGTCCTTGTGCGTAGTGGCTGTGCATTGACCTTGAGTGAAACGTCAACCTGTGGACCTACATGTAAAGTTATGTTCATAAAGCTGTATATCAGCAGTGACTACCTCGTGTAAGGACGTGTAACTAACTTAGGCATACCAGTACTAGAACAACGTCTGTACAAAGTAATACATTTGCCTCTGGAGAAACCTTGAAAATATATAATATGTGGTCAAGTGGTGTGCTTCACTGTCCGAAGAGTGCTCAATACCCATGTAAGACAGAGCCTTGTACACAAGAGAGAGAGATTGGAAGCTTTGTTTCACGTATTACTACGATCGTCAGGTTGCCTAATGATCGTAGTAATACGTGAAACTCAGAGTTGTAACAAAGCTTCCAATCTCTCTCTTGTGAAAATATAATAATATCAATCAATATCAATGTGTGTACTTCCTCCGCGTCATCGAAATTTTCGCAGTTTGACTAGTGACTTGTCACTTGTTACTGACAACTCCATGAGCTAAGCCATTCAAAACTTATTACACAGTATGATAGTCTGAAGACTAGAGTAACGTTCCAGGACAGTTGGACTGAGAGTTTGCATGCAGAGATGAAGTCCTCGTCGTCGCTGATGTCAATGGACGCAAAAATATCGTTCCGAAATATTTCAAGGAAGGTTGAAAGTTGGTCGCACCTCATCTCAAACGCTTTGACTTTCCTCATAGGACAAGAGCTGCTATGCTTGTCGTCTGCTAGCTCTGGATGATCTGGTTGACCAACGAAGCCTAGTAAGAATACACAATCTTTGCGAGGTCGGTTGATTACCGTCGGCGGAATCACCTCGATCTTGAAAAGAACATTTTTTAGCCGGGGCATGCCCATTTATTTTAGCTGTGTGGTCACAGCTCATGCAGGTAAGTGTACTATCACGTCCAGCGCGCCCTCTTTTTCAGCATCACTGGTATACCATGGTACGGCACCTGCGCGTGCATCACTAGCACTACGTGTAGAGTCTACACGGCTCTTGCAGGTACAATCATGTACTGAGTGTCTCAGCCAGAGCGACACATTTTATCGCTGTTGCAGGCATTTAGTTTGCTGACCCCTCGATGTTTCTCCGAGCGCTGCTATTTGTTCCACGAAGTCATTCTCACCCCAGCTTAGGTAAAACAGTGATGAGGCTTGAGTGAATGGCCATAAGCACGAGAAATGTGCAGGCTGCAACGCCTGACTGATCTCAGCGAGTCGAATTACCATCGCAGCGACATCAGCAAAGAAATTGCGTCTAGTTCAAAAATTCCAACTTCCAATTACAGAAAATAGAACTTTGCCGTCGCCCTATACTGATGACTATCGCCTATGTCCGATTCCTTGCCTCTGGTACGAGTGCTGGTGAGTAAATACCACGTTTTATATCAAAAGTAAAACTGCGACAATTTCGATGACGCGGAGGAAGTACGAGTATGTGCAGTGCACGACGTTATAATGCGCTACATGTGTGTGCAATGTACTTGTAGTAGTAGATGTGGTTAGTACATTACAACCAGAATTGTATACCTCTAAAAAGAACAACAGCCCTCCGAGGTGAATGTCCTGTAATGTCCTATAATGGCCCATGCCCGCCTTGTCGGGCAATTTTCATGATCACTACATCATTGTTTCCATTGCACAGTTTTCCTCCAGCTCTCGAACTGGACATACATGGATATGTACATGTACTAGCTAATGCATCTATTGATCCCTGTATAATCTTGTACAGTACCTCAAACATTCTACACCATGGGACTACTAATGCCCAGTGGGCAGTGGACTTGTACAAAATGTAATAAAGGAATCAGTGTACCTACATGTACATGTACATACGCTCAATTGTTCCGCTGCACACCAGGAATACATGTATGAACCATTCCCTACTAGTATTATAAGTTGTACTACTGGAAGGTTCTACTTTACACGGGTACAAGCATGTAGGGCTTGGGTGTGAGAACTCCAATCTTATCTCTTGGGTAATAAGTGGCTGATGTGATGTGGCCAGAGGACACAAGTGGTACAGTCCAACACGCAATTATGGAAAACTCGAATCTGTTGTGCGCAATGTCACCTCCTCCCCGTCCCCCTCCCCCCTCCCCCCCCCCCATTCACATCATACTAAGAGCCCCAACGTGGATCATTGTGAATCCATGTTGAACAATACTAGTAGTACGGTATGATATTCTAACCATTACTAGACTGATGAAGGTTCAGTTTCCTCCCCTACACAAAGTGCTCGGCAATCACGCCTTCCCATAAGGCGGCTTAACGTAAGCACATAATCCCCAGGCACCATTGTGCCTAAGAATCAACTCTTGCGTGAATGAAGGATTGCGGCTAAAACCTACACATTAGCCTTTCTGACACTCAGAGTATTCGATATATCTGAAGTTATTCAGTGTTTTGCGGTATATTGTGTAGAATCCGTAATGGCATGTACATCTACACGTACATGTGCATGTACATGTCCAGATAAAGTCTATTGATCAGAGTGGCAGATAAATGTATATTCCAAGTCAAAATCTGATACAGCTGATGAAGTCTAAAAGTTCAAAAAAAGATAAAACAGTGACTTCGGAGACTTAAAGAGCAAAGGACAGAAGAAATGTATTGCCTCCAAGTCGTCACATTTGATATTTTGGAGTTTCATGAGGAATTGCACATCAGAATGGCTTGCTATTGAGAGGGCCATCAGCGGCGACCTCACCCAGCACAGGTGCAGCTTGCACTCCGTCCAAAAGCAGATTTTGAAACACTTCGATGCGAATCAAAGACACGTCATTGATCTGAACCTGTAAGCAAACCCAAGGTACAAAGAATTGTGCATACGTGCGCCAGTGGAAGCGACACACATGTGGCAGAGCTTAGGGCTTCGCTTTCAGTGTTCTTAATTCAGTGACTCTAAGCTTCTATGAATGAGACTCTAACACGATCGAAACAGGTGGCTGTTTAGAGTCTGACTTTGCACGAACAAATCAATTTTTTTGTACCACCGACGGTTATACTCTTATATTGTTACACTGTTATACCGCTATGGTTGTTATAACAATACCCAAATCTTTATCTGTAGAGAAGAAAATGGCAGACGGATACGACTTAACATCACTGTACCTAGAAACCTTATCAAGTCAGAAAGTGCAACAAGTAGGCACAGAACTGACAGAGTACTGAGACATTTTACGACCTTATACCTAGACCCAGCACATCTCCGAAGCGCTGACCAACAACCTTCCAGCTTGGAAGGTTCGTAAGGAGAGGCCAAAGAGGGGAATTGAAGCGCAACGAAATGTACACAATGTATGCTTTTTTTCTTTCTACATTTATTGTGGGCTTACCCTAGTAATTTCAAATCTTGATCTGAACTGCTTTTACATTATAATGTACTTAGAATGATATGACAAAACGTAATATTCAAATACACTACTCACTCTGATGCGATAGTTCATTCCAGCAACCACCTGTTTGATGTAGAATTTGGCTACAAACTGCCCAAATTGCTTGCCTCCGTTGATCTTGTCCTCAACTGCCTTTCGAACCTGAGCGTGGAGGTGCACAACAAAAAAAGAAAAATGAATTCATACCGGTATGTACATGTAATGTTATAATTATGTGAATGTAGTCTACGAGACCATACCAATGGGATCGCAATTTGAATTATACTACAGTTCAGTGAACGTAGCTCGAATACATAAAATTATAGTTCAGATGCATAAACAGTTCTGCATGCAAAGAAGTGCTTGCACTGCCTAAGCTACATTGTATGTCTCTGAACCCCCTCTCCCTCGTCATGGGAACCAAGCACCAGCGCAGCTTACAGCAGAGAATGTAACATACCTGGTTGCAGATTTCTTGGACACCCAAATTAGCCTCCTGCGGTGGATGGCTCCATCCTCCCATGAGTTGTGCACTTTGTTCCATAATTAAATCGAGGTGGTATCAGGGGAAAGCACGCTAAGTCCTCAAAGCGAAACAGACGGTTATGAAAAAACGCAGGGCGAAACTCCGGCTTATATAGTTTTTTCCGACCACTGTATGTACATGTACGTCGGATATACAAGGGCCGGAAACACTGTGTCCACATGTAGACTGGAAATCTAGCAAGCGAGCCAAAGACCTGAACTCATGCCGCGATGCCAGCTCATAAGCCTTTGGTAATCCAGATTTGCAAGTACTAGCTTGTCACTCAGAAGTCCCTTCATACCCGTGGAACATGAATGAGTAAACAGAGTTCGCAATGCGCAATGGACTTCGCTGAAAGAGGCTGTCATGATGACACCAACATGTCACGTAGCTACAGTCCATTCATTGGAAACTGGCACCCTAACTTTTTGGTGTCTCTCACATAGTTGTAGATATCCTGAAAACAACAGTACATCCTGCATTGTGTGACCCGTGCAATTACTCCTTGCCTCATTTGAGGCCGGAAAAGTCCAAGAACAGGGAAAAAGAAATTCAGCCAGGTTTTACAAAATTAGGACAGGTATGCCATGGCAAAATGTACGGAGAAGCAGATCCCAAACCCAGATTTTTGAGATTTAAAGTGGGTTTTTGATCCTCAATTCGACCCAAATCCGACTTTCAAAAGCCAGCGGGCCAGTTTCCGATGAATGGACTGTAATTATCGTCTGCCCACGGAGACGTCACACAGCCGCTGTTGTGTAGTGATGCAGGTGTTATACAAAGTTGGATCGAGTGCAGAATGTCACACAATTACTGTCAATACTTCCATTCGGATTTGATGTAAGTACAACGTATGAGACGAGTTTTCGAGGATGCTTTCCGCCTTGCAGCTAAACCACATTTGCCTAGTGATTGCTGAAACTTTATGTTGCAATTAATTCGGCTGTTGATTGTGGCTGCCGGGGGCCACTAAGGGTACGAAAATAGACTATACACAGCCATTAGAATAATAGTTCCTGACGGCAACACATTCATACTGTTCTATCCCTAACAGCCCCCATGACATATTCATTTCACTTGATCATGTCCAACTACTGTAGTCCGTTACCAGCCTTCCTGTTCACATGTACATGTACATGTACACTACTGCTCACAACTAGTCGAAGAGGATGAAAAACTCGCTGTGACTCAGAGTTTTAACAGCACATGAGACATCAGACACCAGTTGTTGTCCAATGCGACGTATTGAAATCCGAACGAGCGAGTTAAGCACACACCGGGCACTGCGCAGCCGTAGACATGTGAAAACTGGGTTGCAAAATGGTGCAAGGCACAAACTAGACCCACGCAATCATAGTTCATTGACCAGTACTATGTACATGTACATTGTACATTGAACAATTATGTTCCTTTTGAAATTTAGAAATATTCATCTGCGTGCTCCAGGTCTCGTTTGCATCATTCAAGAATAGTTTTGCATACTGCCACTCTCAAAGCATAGGGATAGCACTTCATTTCACCGTTGACCTGAGTGTGTGTGCTGGTGAACAGGTACATGAAGGAACAGCGGCAATAGTAATCATATAATAACTCGGGAGCACATCTTCAGGGCCAACAAGAACTGGCATCCACTTAAAGTACGTGCACTGTGTAATGTGATGGATTGAGCTAATATTCATTCATGATCTGTCAAACTGAGTGTGTGGGAGTGATACTGCCTCCCCATTTGTGTGGCCTCATATCCGAAAACCAGCGTAGTATGTAAACGGAAATGATAGACAAAGGGTAGGTTCATGTGTGGTCTCTATCAGAAAAGATATCAAGTTCTTTCAGCAGGGATGTGACTATCTGACACTGCTACTGTGTGTCTCAGTAACTCATTACTTTCGCAGATCATTTCAACCTAGTATGGATTGGTCGATGCTACATTGTACCTAGGTATTTTGTTTTAATTCATTGATACAGGCATATGCAATAGTGTAATTCACGCAAGACATCCAGTCCTTGTAATGTAAAACACACCTGGTCCCCAGCACATGTACATGTACTTTGAATTGGAAGTCATGAGTAAGCCCCTGGGCTAAATCCTGCGGGATATTCTCAGGCCACGTTTTGTAACTTTGAACTGGTCCTTGTGCTTAATGGCTGTGCATTGACCTTGAGTGAAACGGTAATGGACCTAGATGTACATGTTTATGTTCATAAAGTCAAAGTGTCTGTAGTCTTTGCTGCAAACAGTGCTCAATACCTCAAAAAGGGGGCAGAGCTTACCACACAGATGAGTGTTTTTTGAAACACGAAACTCGGAGTCACGAGAATAATTTTTGGTCTCTGATGGTCTGCCCTGTATGTTCATAAAGCTGTATATCATCAGTACTATCTCTTGTAAGGACGTGAAACTAACTTAGCCATACCAGTATTAGAACAATGTCTGTACAAGTAACACATTTGCATCTGGAGAATCCTTGAAAATATATATCAATCAATATCAATGTGTGTACGAGTATGTGCAGTGCACGACGTTATAATGCGCTACATGTGTGTACAATGTACTTGTAGATGTGGTTAGTACATTACAACCAGAATTTTATACCTCTAAAAAGAGCAACAGCCCTCCGAGATGAATGTCCTATAAATATAATGGCCCATGACCGCCTTGTCGGGCAAATTTCATGATCACTACACCATTGTTTCCATTGCACAGTTTTCCTCCAGCTCTCGAACTGGACATAAATGCATATGTACATGTACTAGCTAATGCATCTATTGATCCCTGTATAATCTACTACAGTACCTCAAACATTCTATACCATGGAATTACTAATGCATTCATATGCCAATGAGCGTAAGCATTGCAGTCAGTGATTGCCCGGAGACGTACCATTCTACAGGACATATTGTAATAATAATAATTAGCGAATGATCAGTTCACGCCCCTCAACATACGTGTACATACATGTATTATGTACATCGCCAATGTTCAACTAGACATGCTTGGACTTATCATGTGGGTCAAGATCTCAATGCGTCAATTGTTCCGCTGTACCCCAAGAACAGAATCTAGTCATTTACTAAAATTATAAAGTTGGTTGCTCCAACAAAACACGCACGGTTCCTGCCGACACTTGACACTTGACTGACTCACGACGGCCATCTGGAGCATACGAGGAGCACATCGCACCTTCCACTCCGCAAACCTGCAAAAATCACCACTCCCTGCTCATTGTTTGGGTGAATTCACCCCTTATCTAAGTTCGTATTTACTAAAGTTGCAATACATAACCGTTTAGAGGGTTGCACGCATGCACGGTTTGTGACAAATCCAATGCCATCAGTTGCCCGATATTGGTTGATGTGACCTGAGGCCACAAGTGATTCTGGTATGACAGTCCAACAAGCAAATAATGTATATCTACTGTATGTAAAACTCGAATCTGTTGCCTCCCTGCCCCCCCCCCCTCATGCACATCATACTACGGTGTCCAAATTGGATAATCGTGGATCTGTTTTGAACACTACAATGTACCTGCAGCAGCAGTGTTATGATACCATATTCTAAACATGAGTAAAGATTTCGTTACCACCTCAGTACACACTGTGTTCAGCGCTGATCAAGGACATCGTCCCATAAGGCGGTATAACGAGGTTTCACCTGCACCGCCAGCTTCACGCAAACACACAATCCCCAGGCAGCACTTTGCCTAAGAATAACCTCCTTTCGTGAATTTAGGGTTGCAGCTGAAAGCCACGCATCATGTTTTCTGACACTCAGATCATACTGTACTATACACTCTACTAGTAGAAATTTATTCCATGGTTTGAGGTATGTTGAACAGAATGGCAGCTAAATGGTATATTCCAAGTCTATTGCTGATGTGGTCTAAAGTTCAAAAGTGAAATCAATGATTTTGGAGATCTAAAGTACTAACAAAAAGAAGAGATTTATTGTCTCCAAGTCGTCACATTTGGTAGTATTGAGCTTCATGAAGACTGGCTTATCAGAATGGCTTGTCATTGAGAGGACCGTCAGCGGCGACATCACCCAGCACGGGTGGAGCTTGCACTCCGTCCAACATGGGACCTTGGAACACTTGCATCCGAATCAGCGACACGTCGTTTATTTGAACCTGTAAATGTGCCAAAAAAACATTCAAAATTAATTGTGCGTACGTGAGCCGATGGAAATAATAAAAACCACAACTGAGCTCATTGCAGAGCTCTATAACGTTTTAGCCGTTTATAGCAGTTAGCCGTTAACACAAATAAATTGAATTCAATTCCAGTGACTCTCAGCTCCGATGTGACGTACACGTACATGTATGTACATGTAAGTACCATTCATTTTTTGCATACACTAAACACACGCTGTTACATGTACTGAGTATATAGCAGACTCAGCGGAGGACTTTCAGGTCACACTATTATACATGTTTATATATTTTTTATTTTTTGCAAAAATCACACACCATTTCCTGGCACAAAGCGGCAAGCCAGCGACGAGACATATGGAATGTTTGTGATAACACAATCCAAATCCCCCTCTGTTCTGCGCAGTATAGACTGCATGCAATGGTTCACGTAACACGGCAATACACTACTCACTCTGATGCGATAGTTCAATCCAGCAACCACCTGCTCGATGTAGAATTTGGCTACAAACTGCCCAAACTGCTTGCCTCCGTTGATCTTGGCCTCGACTTCCTTTCGAACCTGAGCGTGGAGGTACATAAAAGTAGAAATGAAGGAGTACACATGTGTACAAGTATATTTGAATCTTGTCTACGACACCATACCAGCAGGATGTCAACTTGGATTATACTACATTTTGGGGAATGAATCTCAAAATTACTACAAGTCATAAACAGTTCTGCATGCATAGCAGTACTGCCTAAGCTACATGAGTGTCTCTGCCCCCCCCCTCTCTTTCTCGTTATGGGGACCAGGCACCAGTGCCGCTTACAGCAGGGAATGTAACATACCTGGTTGCAGATTTCTTGGACACCCAAACTAGCCTCCTTCGGTGGATGACTCCATCCTCCCAAGCGTTGTGCACTTTGCTCCATAATGAAATCGAGATGATCAGAGAGAAAAGGGCGCTAAATCCTCGAAGCAAAAACAGACGATTGTGACCAAACACAGAGTGAAGCTCCGGCTTATATAGTTTTCTCCGACCACTGTACGGACACCGGATGTGCAAGGGCCCGGTCTGTCCCGGGAACGCTTTGTTCACGTCTAGACTGGAGATCCTGCAGGGCGGGTCGAGGACGTGAACGCACGCTGCAATAACAGGACCCAGGCGTTTGGAAATCCAGACTTGTCAGTACAGCACATGTATTGGCTTGACACGTACAAGTTCTTCGATACCCCAAGCTGCATCTCATTGCATGAATCATTGAATGAGTAAATGGAGGTCGCAAGCCGCAGTCGACTTCGCCGAAAGAGGCTTCCATTATGACACCAACATGTCAAGTACATGCACATGTGTCTGACTAGCGTCTGCCCGCGGAGAGGTCATACAGATGACATTGGTTAGCTGGTACAAGTCAAGGTTGGGTCAAGCGCAGAATCTGTCAATCCTTCCATTCTGATTATATGTTCGCTAGTAAGTAATGTATGGTGTGTGTTTTGGAGGATGCCTTCCACCTTGCAGCTAACCCACACACATGCTTAGTGGCCGCTGACACTTTATGTAATGTTGCAATGAATTCGGCTTTGATTGTGCGTGCCGTGGAGCCAACAAGGGCACGAAAATAGACTATTCACTGGTTTACGTAAGTAGCGTGCGCCACTGCTCGAAGAGTGCGCAATACCCGTGTAGCGCAGATCCTCTCGACTTTCTGGAGCTCGGAGCTCCCCCCCCCTCTCTCTCTCGCTAAGCTCTCTCTTTCTCTCAGTAACTCACTCACTCACTCTCACTCTATCTCTCTCTCTCTCTCTCTCTCTCTCTCTCTCTCTCTCTCTCTCTCTTGTATCCACTCAATTGGAATAACGATTCCTGCCTGCGCCGGCAAGTGTATAATTCTCCGTCCCAACCAGCCCCCATGGCCCATGACATAATTCATGTCACTTCATCACATCCTCCACACATCCGACTAGTCCGTTACCAGCCTTCCTGTTCACATGTACATTATCACATATTTGCGCCATGGCTGAGCTGCCTAAACAAATTCACGGTTCGCGTGAAGCTCGAGGCCGAGTTTTCCGCATTGCGCTGGAACACCACCTGCTTCAAGCATCACGTATCCTTAGCATCATTCAAAAGTTGGCTGCATGTTGCAACATTGAAAACACAGCGACAGCACGAAAAGTCACGGTTCGCATGTAATTGTAGCGATTGCACTAGCACCGATCCATGATCTGCCACTCTGTGTGTGTGGGAGTGATACTGTTTCGTACGGACATCAATAGATCAATAGAATCGGCTAGGGTGGTGTAGCCAAGGACTGTTCATGCGATGCGGCTTGGACAATAATTGTAAACACACACACACGCACCCATGCGCACGCACGCACAGACACGCGCACCCATGCACACACACGCACAAACACACACAACTGTATCTACGGACCATGAAGAAAATGGATCAGGGAAGTCCAATTAAAACTGATTGTCCCCGTGGCGCACTATTAAAGACAATGTACTGTACGAGGTAAAAAGATCAAGCTTGCATAATGCGAGAGAACGAAAAAAACATAATCTACTCATCCAGCACTCCAACTGTATGTTCTACATATACATGTACATGCATGTGCTACTGTGCCATTCTGTCTTTCTATCATCATGCTAACGATTGGAGATAATAGCAAGAAGTACCGGTATAGAGCATAGAGACCATGTTGTAGGATTGCTGAGGCTGATTAATAATAGTAATATGAACATGGTTGCGTTAGAGTGTGAGATTCACAAAGCACATTCATTCATGGTGAATTGAGCACCCAAGTAAGTAAGGAGGCCAGAGCACAAGTATTGTGGAAGGGTTTGTTTATAACGATTGATCAAGAGGCCCATCAGCAGCAACATCTGTCAACGTACACGTCCCTGGCACTGGTCCGGGTCCGTTTGCGTCAAAAACTAATGATAATCCAGATTTGAACCTGTGTGTAACAAGAAGGTGGATGAAGGAAGAATGATGCATAAATGAGCTGGTCGATATTCAAAGACACAAGAGCACAGCTTCTATAGCGCGCCTCTACCTTCAACCAGTACTTCCTCCCAACAATTAACAAGCCCCCTGAAGCCCATCCATGATCCTCCCAACCCCAGCCAACCCCGTCTAATATGTGGTCGATCCACTAGGCTAGCAACAGAGACTTCCCACTGCCCACCGCTCCAGCTCAAGTCAACGTAGCCATTACAGCGCAGATTATACTATTCATAGCTGGAACAATACCGTTAGTCGTGTGTTAACCTACCCCTACCCTGCTGCTATGGCTGACACTTTGGTTTGACGGTATTATAGTAGTTACAGTAAACCTGGTGTAAGCGACCTCTGGTTTTAGCGACCACCTGCGCTTAACGACCACTTTTCCATGCCCTACGCTGAAACTGTTGGACCTGGTTCTAAAGACCACCTGGCGTTAACGACCGCTTTTGCTTGCACCATGGTGTAGCCGCTTCAATCAGGTTTTACTGTACTAGGAGAATGTGGGGGGGGGGGAGAGAGAGATCCGAGCCCATCCAATTGCAAGAATGTCAGTACTCGTGCAACCCATTGCATATTTCCGGGAAAAGACCAATCAGAGAAGATACGTAACTCACCGAGACATGTTAGGCAAACTGCAAATGAACCTCGAACCTTGCAGTGACCTGGTGACCACAGGTGAGCTTGGCCTCGACCTCTTTCCGAAGCTGTGCACAGCGGTGGAAAATTGAAGTTACAATTTGGTATATTGGTTGTTCATGTGGGTTATACAAGTACTACAATGCATACATGTAATTGTTTGGCCGTGACAGGTCAGCTAAACGTTGATTCGAAAC